TACCCTCAACGGCACACATTTGTAACTTATTTATCCATAAAGAATTAATACTAGTTGCAATTGCTAACATGAACAATAGTTTTTAGTCAGCATTTATTAAAGGGGACATAAATGTGTATTGGCAGTGTGTGTACACAACCACCCTATAATTATAAAAATCCATCCAGTGGTTTATTTAACATCCCCATAAATCATAACCTTTTTCTCAGATCAAGCCGTTCACAGATTCTTGGCAGAGTGATGTTGTTTTGGCAGGCCCCTCCCACGATTGTTGGTTGACACTGGCATTTTAGCACAGACCCGCCCTGAGTGAGCTGTGAACAGTCCGCCATTGTTTCGAAGAATGTCTCCAAAGCGATTGAGGTGTTTTGTTGCTGGATGTAATAATGAACATAGCAGTCGTTATTTACTCCCGACATCTGAAGATGCAGAAGATTACAATGTATTGTTGGCTATTGCTACAAATATACCCGTGCTACTTATGACTGCTTTTGTGCTCCAGGGTCACATAATAATGATCTTTACTATATGATGGTCTGTTGATTTTCAACATGATAGCAGCCTTTTATAATAGATTTATTTATTCTATTTATCTTATTTTTAACCTCTTTCTTGCCATCAACATGACAGTGGTAGCTGGAATTGCATGAAATTACAAACAAAAGTATTTTTGTATATTTCATCATTCTAAAAAAAAAAACAACACGCTATCTTGTCTGTGTTGTGTTGTCTCTATAGAGCCTCACTTCCTGCATGCTGTCGAATACGGCAACTACGTGTATTTCTTCTTCAGTGAGATCGCAGTGGAGCACACCGGCGCTGGGAAGGTAAAAGATGAGTGTGTGAGAAGATTTAGACATTCAGTTCTGTTATAAAATCAGTTAGTGATTCCTGCTTGCTCCTCGTGGTGTAGGTGGTGTATTCACGCGTGGCGCGCGTGTGTAAGAACGACAGCGGCGGCTCCACGCGGGTGTTGGATCGCCACTGGACGTCGTTTCTGAAGGCGCGCCTGAACTGCTCGGTTCCTGGAGACACGTTCTTCTACTTCGATGTGCTGCAGTCGCTCACCAACGTGCTGCAGATCAACCAGCGGCCCGCTGTGGTGGGAGTCTTCACCACACAGATCAACAGGTACACAGTCATCACTAGGGTTCGGTACCCAATTCTGTACTTTTAAGAGTACCTATTCACATTAAATTAATAACTAGGGATGTGACGATGAACCGCGAGCCGGTTGAAAATCGATTCAAATATGTGACGATTCAAATCGGTTGAGATGCCAAACAAATCGCGCGATACAGTTGGAGCAGGAGTTTATATGAATGTATCTCTGAGGGGAAATGACTGTCTTTAGAAAAAATTTATGTGGTATTTTCTTTTCATCTTGCCTCTGAACGATGCATATTAAAGTAGTGTTCATAAGCGCAGCACTGCTTTGTTTACAGCGGTAACCAAGGAAACACTGTATCATTGCTGTTCATAAGCGCAGCTCTGTTTTGTTTACAGCAGGGCCCAGGAAACACTGTATCATTGCTGTTCATAAACGCAGCACTGCTTTGTTTACAGCGGTAACCAAGGAAACACTGTATCATTGCTGTTCATAAGAGCAGCTCTGCTTTGTTTACAGCGGTAACC